GAAAAATCGAAAAATTTTCTAAACTTCTGAGACCCTAAAAAATATATTTTTTAACACAAATAAAAATTTCATCTGGGGGCGATATTATATTTTTTTCGTTGATTTTATTTTGTTATTTATTATTTTATATATATTCTATAATTATTTTATTTCCTTTCAATTAAAATACTTTCCCCTTTTTAAATATTTGATGTTAAAACAATATGATGGTCACCTTTAAGTTTTCATCACGTCATGTTCATCAATTTTGAATAGATTTTGTTTTCACTCCTACTGGAACTTACATAACGTAAATCGCCGGCATTGGTCTTTGTAACCCACAAAAAACACAACAACTAAAATATATAAAAAAGTAAAAAACAAAATAATAATACAAAATATACAACAAATTGTGTTATTTGTGTACAAAAAATAATTTTCGTAGCTCTGATGGAAAATGCAAAAGGCCAAACAAAGTGAATGCCTTTAATTTAAAATTGATTGAAAGAAACAAACAGAAAAAACACAATATCCCTATTTTTGTGGAGAGATGAATCCATGCTGATGGCGAGTTCATTGTTAGGCCCTGAATAATGTGCCTACCAGTCAGCTTACAATTCGCAAATGCCCATGCCCATTGTGTGTGTGTGTGGACGACAACCTCAGTACATTGCTCAAATATTTATAAACACAAAATGTGTGAAATGTTGCTGAGGTGGACATTGTTCAACCCCAAACACAGCTCTGTTCAACACAGCAAACCTGAAGCGACCTGAAATCGAAATTGACTTACCATCACCACCCTACCGCAAATACAGAGTTCAAGTAAATGCAAGTCTGTGCTGTGCTGCTAATTCAATTACATCTCATGGCCCTGAATTGAAATTGGGCCAACAATGCGATGGCTTATGTTGACATCTGGGCCATCGTTAACAAAGCAACAGTAACAACAACAAAACAAACATTGTAAACAAAATAAATAATTTTATGCGGTACAAATCAGCGAACTTTTTTTTCATTTTTGTTTGACTCTCCATTGACCGACTTTTTCGATGGACTCGGCCAAGGGTGTTACTTCTTAATAAACTGGAAAATTATTCGTATATTTACACCTTGTATTTACTGAAATCAAATTTACAACTATTAACATTTCGGGGATTTTCCCTTCTCAGTGAAATAAATAAATAAACAAACAATTTAACAAAGAAAACAGAAAAAATAAATTTCCATGGCAGCGGTTGATAGACGTTGTCGAATGAACTGCTGGAGCATAACATCATCAAGTTCATTTTTCTTTTCACAGCTTTTGTTAAGCAAATTGAAATTGAGTTCCATATTGCTTTTGTTAATTCCTTTTTTACTTCGATTATTAATTGATTTTTGCATTGTTCGTCCTCCAATAATTTTTACTGATTTATGTGAAATGATATATAGCCATCTAATTAGATTTCCAATCTAATCAGACTCAACATTTCACCGCGTAACTAAATCAAAATATAACAACTCAAAATATTTCCGCTTTTGTTCGAAAATAAAAAAAAAACAACAACAGTTAAATCTACCTCTAATATTCATAACTACAACGGGCTAATGTTTATTTGTCATGAACATTCGGAGCATAACGAAGCACCCATAAATGCTTGTTCCTTAACAAAAGTGTTATTTATAGTCAAAGAATATTCCTGGTCCCCCCATTTTGTTGCTGCTATTGTTGTTGTACTACGAATATACGAATTTTTGTTAAAGAGACATCATAAAATTGTTAATAAAAGTGCGGACAATTTAACGACTTCAGACAGTTAGTTATCGTTGTGGTAGTGTCTGGTAGGTAGAGGAGAAGAAAAAAAAAACATATACAATATATGAGAACGAATCATAACTCGTAAACACGCAACGTGATAGGCCGACATATCAGTGTAATAGTCAGGGTTGGAGATATAAGTTATTTAAGAGAGTTACTACAGTACCTTGACAAATATATTATTAGTATTTGCATTCATATATTTATTATTATTTTTATTATTCACATCACTAAAACGAACATTAAAATTAAATATAAGGAAACATTTTTTGTGTGACAGTCAAACATGGCTATAAGGACTGAATATCAAATTTGTATTTTTCCATGTTAAAGTTTTTTGTTTAATATTATGTTTTTTTTATGGTTGAAACTATTTTGAATATTCTACAAATTGTGTTTTTTTTTTGTGTGACAAGAAACTTTTCAAGTTCAGAAAAACATATTTATTTCATAGACATGTTTGTAAATGTATATAGTATGTACATACTTAACTATTTTATTATATTTTCATTTGTGTGTTTTTTTCTTTTCTTGTCGTCACTTATATAGTTGTCTTCTCTTCATTTTGATGATGTCGTCCTCTATTTTTTATTCCAGACACTATTTTGTGATGTTTTTTGTCCTGGCAAAAAAAAAGAAAAATTGTTAAAAAAAAAGACACAAACATGTTTTATTGTAGGAAACACTTTGGATATTAAAATTTATTGTCGAGCAATGCATAAAAAGGATTGAATTTAATGACATTGTTTTGTTATCCCAGCAAATGTCGTTTCTTCTTCTCAGATGTTAATGCGTTCAGCCTAAAAGTATACATCACACCTCAAACCAAAAACTAATTAATATTAAAAAAATAATCCATAAAAACAAGCAAATTGTGTATTTAATTTTTTTATGGAAAATATAGTGTGTGAAAGTCAAAATTAAGACTATAAAAATGTTGTATTTATTAAAAAAAGAACACGGATATTAAATTTAAACGTTTCATCCTAGAAATACATATTATATTTTTATCTTTCCATATTATAATTTTGATATGATACCTAAACAGATTGCGAAAATATATCCACCATTAAGTCCATCGGAAGATATTAAAATATATCGTCGTTTATTTTGAAAGTGGTTTAAGTCCATTTGAGGTTCTGATACAAATCTCTGTTTTCTAGAAAGAAAATATAATACATTATAAATTCTATAACAAACAAAATGAATAACACCTAACAATATTTATGAAACAAATCAAACTCAAACCTTCGAATATTTCAATATAAGAAAAAATTGATTTAAACAACTTTCAAAATAAAATACTCATATTTTTGATTATAAAAAATTTGCAACCAATTGTTTTAATTATTTAGTATATACCTTAATAAAACCAATCTCAATTAAGAATTATTTAAAAAAATGAATTGTCTTTACATATTTTTTTATTTACAAAAAATAGCAGTTCTACTCCATAATATTTTGTATTTATATTTTTTAATTTTTTTTTCGATATAACCTGAAATTCGAATAATAATCAGCAAAGATGGAAAATTTTCTATATAAAATTTCCAATTTTCTAATTTTGTTCCAAAGAAACTTTTCTATGATTTGTACATAATTGAATCCGATGGTCCGACCACCCAACCGACCACCCAACCAACCACCTTTACTATCTCTTAATGAATTTTTCAATATTGTCGTCCGACTTGGAAATGTCATCGACAAGAGAAGCCATTGTTGAATTTGTTTGCACACGCGATAGTACACACAAACACACTCACATAGGCAAATAAAATCCCAAGTAAACAGTTGTCTTGTCTTTGGTGACTTTATTAGTGCCATTAAAAAAGTGCTTCATTCGCTATTTTTCTATTGACCACTTTCCTGGCTGCTTTCCCATCCTTTATGTCCACAAACGGATACTGTCCACAAAATTCACACACACACACACACACACATATAAACTCCACAGCAACATAATAAAATGTGCCAGTCTATTTAATTGGAATGCGAGTGGTTTTGTGCACTGGCTACACCTGGTGCACTTTAATTGTAGAATTGTGGACACTTGGCATCGCGTGGTGTGGCTGTTCTAAATGGAATACAACTGCCGCCATTGCTGAGCTCTGCAATTTCTGCAATAGGTCCAGAACCACCTCACTGGCTCTGTCCGGTGGTGCTGCTGCTACTATTGTTCCAAAAACTTATTAAACTAAAATGGAATATCACCAGTAGAGCCATCATTGTGTTTGTGTGTGTGTGTGTGTGCAACAAAAGTGTTTTAATTACAGGCAACAGAGCAAATGCCCGTTGTTTAATGAAAGAAATATCCTGTGATATCACCGTCATAATAGTAGGTGTTTGTTTTATTTCATTTTAATGCAAAAGACAAAAAACAGCAACAAATCCTGGGCGCCGTTAATCATCAGCCTTGTATGGGAATTTTGTTTTGGGAGTCGTCTATGCCTCCACTCTGATCGCCCTTAGGACGTTAATGGTGTTTATCTGTGCCTTGGATTAATGATGAATTTATGATTGCCGGAATGCCTCAGTGAATGTTTCCATTTTATTATCTCGTAATAATGAGCTCTGATTTGTTCAGATTTTTAGTGTTATATCATGCAATGAAATACTGCTGCTAATTAACCTTAGACTAGGCAGAGTGGTTGGGGGCGGGCAAGCGGAGAAATCAAAGAAGACACAAAAAGGATGTGCGTGCTTGAATTTTAATAAGTATCACCCTCTCACGATGTTATCCAATGATAGCCTTGGCAGCATCACCAAATAACTAACTGCTGACGGGCGAATGGAAAGAAAAAACAACAACACAACAATAGGACGGTTATTAATAATTCGTTTCTTTCCTTTGCATTTCGGGCGACTAAATCATTATTTGCCAATTCAGTTGATTTTTTTCTCATTTTGGATAGGTGGACCACCCACCCAGACAACCAATAGATTCAATTAATGGTATTAGTCGTGCTCATCACCATGGTAATCCGTCCTGCCCTCATCGGTTTCCGGAGGTAGTTTGAATTTTACTGATGATTTTCTTTTTTTTCTTTTTTACATTCTGATTGTCATCACATTCCAGCCACCTCCGCCCCACCCTCCTTTCGATTACCATTAGTGAAACTTAAACTGAATTTGAATTTCTGAATTTCTTGTTGTTGTCTATTTATTTTTTCTTTACATATCGTATATTTACATTTGTTCTGCATTCTTGTTTTCTTTACAGATTATCCACGCGTTGAAGTTGGTCCCGAGAATCCGCTGCGTGTCGAACGTGATCGTATTGCCAATTTAGAATGTAATGTCGATGCTAAGCCCAAGGTACCTAATGTACGCTGGACACGCAATGGACGATTCATTGGTTCGAGCCATAACCACACCATACATCGTGTCAGCATTCAGGATGCCGGCAAATACACATGTTCGGCCGATAACAATTTGGGCAAGACGGGAGAACAGGAATTGATTTTGGATATTCTGTATCCACCAACGGTAGTGATTGAAACCAAAACAAAAGAGGCCGAAGAAGGCGATACGGTCAATATTCGTTGTAATGTTACATCCAATCCTGCCCCCATTACAGTCGAATGGTTGAAGGAGGGAGCCCCAGAATTCCGTTATTCGGGTGAAGTGTTGACCTTGTCTTCGGTACGAGCTGAAAACGCTGGCAATTACATCTGCCGAGCAGTGAATATAATCCAATCGTATGGCCAAGAACGATCTGAACGTGTTGGAAATTCCACAGTGGCCTTATTGGTACGTCATCGACCTGGTCAGGCGTACATTACACCCAACAAACCAATTGTACATGTCGGCAATGGTGTGACATTGACATGTTCCGCCAATCCTCCAGGTTGGCCAGTACCCCAGTATCGTTGGTACCGTGACATGGATGGAGAATTCACGACCGCTCAGAATATCTTGGCACAGGGGCCCCAATACTCCATACCGAAGGCACACTTGGGCAACGAGGGCAAATACCACTGTCACGCCATCAATGAATTGGGTATGGGCACAATGGCCACAATTGTTTTGGAAATCCATCAACCACCACAATTTTTGGCCAAATTACAACAGCACATGACTCGTCGTGTTGCCGATACCGACTATGCCGTTACCTGCAGTGCCAAAGGCAAGCCTGCTCCTACCGTTCGTTGGCTTAAGGATGGTGTTGAAATATTGCCCGAACTCAATCTGTATGAAGTGAAAACTAATCCCGATCAAGGTCCCAATGGCATGGTTACGGTCCAAAGTATGTTGAAATTCCGTGGCAAGGCCCGTCCCAATGGCAACCAGTTGGTGCCCGGCGACAGAGGTCTCTACACATGTCTCTATGAAAATGAAGTGAATTCTGCCAACTCAAGCATGCAGTTGCGCATCGAACATGAACCGATTGTGTTGCATCAGTACAACAAAGTGGCCTACGACATTCGTGAAACAGCCGAAGTGGTGTGTAAAGTACAGGCCTATCCCAAACCAGAATTCCAATGGCAATTTGGTAACAATCCTTCCCCGTTGACCATGTCTTCGGATGGCCACTATGAAATCAATACATCTACCGATAACAATGACATCTATACATCCGTCCTGCGCATTAATTCTCTGACACATGCCGACTATGGTGAATATACCTGCCGTGTTGTCAACTCGCTGAACACTATTCGCGCACCCATACGCCTGCAACAGAAGGGTGCACCCGAAAAACCCACCAACACCCGTGCCATCGATGTCGGCTCCAACTATGTCACTCTGTCGTGGGATCCAGGTTTTGATGGTGGCATTAGCAATACAAAATTCTTTGTGAGCTATCGTCGGGTACCCATGCCCAGGGAGGAACAACTAATTCCAGACTGTGCCACATTGGCGACTAGTAACACGGAATGGATGGAATTTGACTGTCATCGCGACAATCCATGCAAAGTTACACCTCTGGACCAACATCAAAGTTATGCCTTCAAAGTGAATGCTCTCAACACCAAGGGTAACTCCCAGTACTCCAATGAAATTCTGACCACCACCAAAGTAAGCAAAATTCCCCCGCCTCTACATGTCACCTATGATCCCAATTCCCGTACTTTGGGTATTAATGTGGGAGCCACTTGCCTGTCACTCATCGCCGTGGTTGAGACAATGAAGAACAGTGACACACCCATGGCCGCTTGGGAGGTTATTGATCAAGTGAATCTACAATTGTCTGGCAACGGACCCACCTTCAAAGAGACAGTTCTTGATCGCTTGGTTGCTCCTCGCCGCAGCAATGCTGGTCGTGCCTTGGGTCACTCAATAAACGGCGACGAGGATGAGGACATGAGCATGAATACATTGGCCCTGGAAGATGATCACCAGCCCACCGTCCGTGTCAAGCTGTGTTTGCGTTCCAATCACGAGCACTGTGGTGATTATACCGATGCTGAAAGTAAGTACAAACTCCCTTAGGTGAGGGGATGGTCGGAGGGAGACAGAGGATGCAAAACCATTTGTGCCTCTGTCTTGAAATGGAATTTAATTAAAATTAAACATTTTGCCTTGTCTTTATTTTGTCTTTGCAGTTGGCCGGTCCTATATTGCGGAAGCATCCGCTTTGGCCACACCAACCTTAATTGCCATAATTGTTTCGTGTATCGTTTTCGCACTGTTCGTCGGTCTGTTGCTCATGTTCTGCCGTTGCAAGCGCAATCAATCGAAAAAGAGTGCCGCGGCCAAAGATTATGAAATGGATTCGGTGCGGCCATCAATTGTGGCTGCCCAACAGAGCCAGGCACCGCCACCCTACTATCCGGCAAGTGGGCTGGACAACAAGGCCCTGGAACATTCCATGGACCTGGCGCTCAGTATGGAGGAGCAGAAGAGTGCCTTATATGCCACACAAAATGGTTATAGTTATCATCCGGGCAGTGGTGTTGTGGGCGGTGGTATTGGAATACCTGGCCATACGATACCTGGCAATGAATGTAAGTACCTTCACACATAGACGATAGAGAATACTCGCGTACTCACACACATATACGGGCACACACACTACCAAACTGGTAGAAAGAACAAATTTGTTACCATTTATTATTGCGGTTCGATGGAAATTAAAGCGTTGCTCTTTTATGGATGAAAGTGAGCGATTACGAAAATTGTTCCCAGCGATGGGCAATTGTGGTCGAAGAAAAATTGCATGCAATGATGAGTTCGTTCTCTTGGCATTCCAGTAAAGTGAAATGCAATTAGTTTTGATATTGAGCAGAAAGGCCAATTTGTATTGGGTTTTGTGGATGAAGAAAATATGCCATGGCTGTTGTACTTGAAATTGTTTTCGAAACTTTTCAGTGGGATAAGTATTTTCGAAAGTTCTCCTTTTCGTTTCGACATGGACAAGTTTACGTTAGCTATTTATCAATCCTTTGCAGCGAAGTACTTTTTTAAGCCAAATTAATGATTTTGTTAGTATGTGCTTCCGGGCTTTTTCGAGCCAAATCTCTTGATAGCTATTTGGGTGCTTAAGAAGAGGGACAAGGGAGCGTACAATATAGGGACGAATCTGGTTGGGAATTTGTTGAAACAGCAGTTTTGTTACCTGTGGCTGCTTTCACACCGCAAGCTGTTGTATCGGATTAAGGTGTAGGAAAAATGAAATAAACATTAATCGTTCATTGTTTACCAGCTCCACACCAGATACTTCTTAGCCATTCAGTCGCTCGCACACACACACACACACACAGGCACAAGCAAATACTACTTCCAATTCCTGCTGCTGTTGTTGTTGTTTGAACTCCCCACCTGGTCGATAATAATAATATTCCTTGTCCTTGTGTGCAAGTGTGGTTAAACACTCCCACCCACTCCCACACTCCTTACACTGCTGTTGGCCATTCCCCAAGCCACGAAACCACATGTCCTGTCAAACACTGCATCCAATGTTTTGTTGCTGTTTTCAGTGTTTGTGGCCATGGGCATGTGATTGTGTGTGTGTGTAGGTTTATATATGTTGAGTAAATGATTGGGTAGATTTTGTGGTTTTACGCATTTACAATGTTTCACCAGAGAAACGATTCATTATTAATTGTTGCCATTGTTTATGGCTGTTCTGTTGTTGTTGTTTGGCTGGTCTGTCGGTTAGTCGGATGCTTCTATGTGTGCAAAAGTGTTTGTGGCCATTGTGCAAAGTCCCTAACAACAACAGCAACACTGAGTAACAAACAACATACTTGGCACCGAAGTGTGTCTGTATCACCATTTTTTTCATTCCTTGTTCCCATATACGGGTATGTATTTTTTTCCTACTGGCATTCAATATTTGTTACAGTTTCTTAGTGTTGTTGTTGTTGTTGCTGTTCTTATTTTGTTTTGTTTTATTATTACTTTGTATATGAATAGACTTGGCTGTTCCATTTTAGCCTGTCATTTGTTTCGTATCCTTGGGTATTGCACTCTGTTGGAATTCTTTGAGAATTGCTTGACCATCTTTCATCATACTAATGGGAGAAAAGCGAAGAAACTGAAAAGAAGAGAAAATATAAAATGGGAATTGCAATCGTAGACATGGTTATAAAGAACAAATTAATTTTGTATTGCCCTCTAGGGGGCGTGCGTGATTTCTTCATAAGACGCTGCTGCTGACTCATAGCCAATATACAAATTTCAATTTTTTTCCTATTTCTTCTTTTTTTGTTTTTGTTCTTTTACTGCTGTTGTTGCCTTGAAAGAATATAATTATTTACGAAAAATTGGTATTTTCAATACACATACGATAAAAACTTTTTCGTGAAAGTAGATTCTACTTCGGGGAAAGGGTGTGTAAAAAAATTTTTGGTTGAATAAATTTCCTTTGAAATGATTTAATCGTATACAGTATTTTTTCCGAAAATAATAATAATAAGTGCGTATATATGAAATTAAATTTAATATATATATATATATATATATATAATAAATTTAGAATGCTAACATATGAATATTGAAGTATTATAATTTTTAATCAAAATTTCGCAAAAGGAATTTTTCATCTGTTTTTTTACAATGTATAAAAATTGCATTCATTTTTTAATTTTGCTTTCATTTTCCGTCAATTTGTTTACTACAAATGAAACAAAACCCCCAGTTCAGATCATTTGTTAGCAAAGAATGAGTATTTAACAACAACAGAAAATAAAATAAATTGTAAAGCATTGAACTCAAAACTACAGTTGCATTAAGCCAATTAACAAAAAGCAGCGCCAACAATTGTAATTGTTGTAGCGATGATATTAACAAAGACCACAAAAATAACAAGAACAACAACGACAATAATTGCAAATAGGGCTCCGACTAAATGGAACCCCAACTGAAAACAAAATTTGTACAAGTAAATAGGGAACAAAATAGAACAACAGCAACAACAAAAATAATACCAACAACAACTAGAACATTTGCTAAATGCAGTGCAAACGCTTTAAGGTATTAGTGGCAAATACTGGAGCAGCTTATGGTTAGAAAATGGCCAACTATTTTACAACAACTAAACAAGAACAAAACATTCAAACAATAGCTATGCTTTTTGAGCGAATGATTTGACATTAAAAAAGAAAACAGAAAATAAAAACAAATAGTTTTGTGTACTAAATGCCATTTGGAAAATGCTAGAAGAAGAGAATGAAAAGTAGAATCGGTACAAAGTTCAGTGAAGGTGAAACGTGTGAGAAATTCAATATAACATTAAAGACCCCCAACTCGTGTGACCCTACAAAGTAACCTTTGAAAATATTAATAATTTTTCTATTTGATCTGCTAATTGTCCCGTTATATTACAGCATTGCTGCTATCATATTGCTTTAGTATTTGTACCTTGTACTTAAGCTGGCCACAAACAGCCGCGTAAAGAGAATTTTTTTCAGCAGCAGACCCAAAATAGGGAAGAATGGCAAGCTAATAAGTAGACTGCAACTATGTCAAAATAAACATCATGCAGTAGAATAAAACATAAGAAGAAATGCACTAATATGGATAATAGTAAATTTATCGGTAGCCTTATACGAATAAAAAAATAATCGGTTCTACATTTTGAAACATAAATATTAAACGATAATTAAGATTTTTGAAAAAAAAAAGAAATTATAACGGTACAAAAAATTATAGAATTTGTTGAGAAAAATATGAAAAAATACAACTTTGTAGTTATGTCGTTTTATGTGGTATTGGCTTTCAAATACATGCAACAGATGTCTCAAGAATTTCAAGACTATTTTTCAATATAGAGTTTCAAATATAATTTAAAAATTTTTTCGTTCTGAAACTCTAAACTTCTTTTCATACGAATATCCATAAATTATACGAATATCGATAATAAAATTTAATAATATTAAAAATATAAATTCTTCTTTTTATATCTACTGGTAACTGACCACTATATTCGAATACACTTTTTGCTACATCTCTAATCTACCGTTTACTTAGTAAAAGGACAACAACAGTGTTGCTGGGTAAATATAAAGTATTTACTTTGTGGCTAACACAAACTATTTTGCAAATGAAATTTATGTTAAATATGATGCAGTTTTGCTCAAAAGAAACTTGTTTCTCTAACAAAATTCCTTTCAAATTGTATCCTTTTACATTTTATTTTCTCATCATCATTGGAGATGAGATTCCTTCAAGTGGTTGGTGGGAGGATTCCTAGTTTTTGTTGGTGTGGCATGATGTGGCTTGGCCAACACTCTCCCACGCACACACACACATTCACACAAAGATAGAACGCACACAAGGGCATAGTGAAAAGTTGTTTATTTAATGTTTGCTCCTTTCAACAGATGTTGCCGCTTTGCGTGGAAAAGCCATGACAAAATTAAAAGAAAAAAATGTATGAACCAAAAAAAAAAAAAAAAGCAACAGAATGCCAAAGAAACAGAAAGATGTTACAGCAGTAACATATTTACTACTATCCCTGCCGCTACCGCTGCTGCTGCTGTTGCTGTAAAATGGCACCAGTAAACCAAAGAGATTGCCTTAGGGTCTGTGTGACTCATAACAAAGTTGAGTTGAGCCGAGACGCAAATTGTGCTTGCCTTTGTATCTTTGTCTGCCATTTGGCCCGAGTGCTTTGTATAACTCATTTCTGCCAGGATATGAGTAGAATGAGTTTAAACGTTTTAAGATTCATTGTTGTTTTGTTCTGTTCTGTTTTTTTTTCGAAATTCTGTTTTCTAAACTTACATTTGTCTGAGTTGACTTTAAATTTTACAAACATATTTAGTATGAAAAGTAATCCTTAAAGTATGTTTTAAAAGAAATTATTATGTAACTCTGTATGAAGATATTTTGTAAAACAATTTGAAACATTTCCTGTTCTCTTTGCCAGCTCGATATACATATGTATAATGTTGTGGAGTGAAGGTTATTAAGCTATGTGTGTGACTGAATTAATCCCTAGGGAGGAGTAAAGTATACTACCAACAGACATTAAAGTGTGATTTTTTGGTCTGTATTTTTATGTTTTGCCCAAAGATATCAACAAACAAAAAGTTAGCCAAAAATATTTCTTCTTTATAATGACTTTTCGAAAAACTGTCCTCCACATGACATCTCACCCACCCTCCACATGACATCTCATGCTTATAACTTCATTTAAAATAGTTAAGTTCCTCTTTTTATTCGAAAAATTGTTCTTAAAATTCTTTTTTTTTTCTTTTCTTAATAACTCCACAACGTTTGTTTCTATTTGTGTGGGCCATTACTTGCACAGCAATTATAAGCGCTACCTACTAATATGCTTGTATAAAATTTCCATTTAGCCCATTAAGCCTAAACATATGCAATGCCAAATTACAAAGCAACCAGCATTTTGCATACAAATACATGTGCTGGTTTTTGTTTTTGTTGTTATTTCAGTTTTTTTTTTCTTTCTTCCTCTCTCAATTTCCATTTTCTTCATTCACAAAAGTTAAGTTGGTTTTGCTTCATTCATTCATAGTTGCTGAATTAGTTTTTAAAT